ACCTCTTTAAAACGGTTATACTTATTCGTAGCTCAAGAAGAAAATGAGTCTCTCAGAGGGGGAAAAGATGGTATTTCTAGTTAAAGAGTGACGCGGCTACTAACGCATGCATTGATTTACTGAACAAAAAATATTAATACAAAGCATAAACACTGGTTAATATTGTGTGTGAGTTTTGTTTGCATGAATTGTATTCTCTTGGAGTTATTCAAGAATAAAGCAAGAAAATCCCAGTTTTTTACTCCAAAATCGGTCAAAAAATCCCAACCCTCCTCTGTTTACTTAGCAACAATACAAATGAATGGAGGTTTGCCACGCCCACGCTTCCGTTTCCAATCCCTTTCATTTACTCTAATATCTATGATTATTGATAATAAAATAATGCCACGCCTCCAAGCAGGACCAAGCTGCATGGGAGTTGCCACTTCTGCAAGAGCAAGTGTAACTGCAGCTAGGGAGCTAGCTGTTATGGTAATCCCTTGGCCTCAAGAGCACACTTTCTAAATTTTTTACATAGTATGTTTTTGATAGATAGTGGCCACAACAAAAGCTGTGGTTTTGAAAGTAACCCATGATGTATGAGTGCAATAAGTATCATAGTATACTGGCGGCTTAGGCTAGCTAAGCCGAACACCTCCCAAACAGCTTTAGGGGCGAGGCCACGCACCTTTGGTGTCTCATTTTAAATGAACCTCGAATAACTTTCAGGTGTTAATTAATAGCTCTTTTTGTTATTCATAGATAGTATTACTATTAGAGACAACTCACTTGTCGTTGTATACAATTGTGAAACACGTAGCTTCATCCAAGTTCTAGCTCTAGTTTTAGGTAAGCCTTTATGTGATTTAGAATATAAAAAATACTAGTATTGTGAACCCAGATAATTATGATTGTTCTAGGGTCTTTGGGAGAACTTCTGCTAAGAAATCCTAGGCTCAGTGTAGCTTCTGCTATTGTCTTTGGAGGAGTTTGTGGAATGGCTATCACAAAACTCCTTATGAATATTGCTTATATTCGTTTTATATTTACCATGTGTTTTGCAGTAGGGGGCTCAGTTGGAGCATTTGCAGGGATCACAGCTTTTGACAAATTAATGGGATATCCTGGTAATAATAATAATAATAATCTATTTGTGAAAATTTTTATAACTTTAGGTGGCTATTATCACAGAGTTACTAGATATAGGATTGCTGTAGATGTTGCTCGTACATTGTTGGGGATAGTATTAATATTCTTATTATTTATTACTGCTATGAATGTGCATTTTAGTATGATAGACTCATTCATAAGTATTCGTTATGACTATGAGACTCATACTGTGTCTGTTTTCTTTGGAGCATTGATGGGAGCAGTAAGTGCTTTGACTGTAGGCCCAGAACCAATGATTAGACAAATTTTGTCTGGTAAGAAAAAAATTAGCAATTACTTTATATGTATTTGTATATATTATTAGTAGGTTATGATACAAGGTCTAGTGTTGGATTGAAAGTATTACGTACTTGCATTGGAATAGGAACTGGAGCAATAGTTGGATCAATTGCACTTAGTAATTTCATTCCAGATGAGCATACCTCAACTGCAGCAATTGTTATGGGTGGTCTAATTGGAGCTTTTATTGGTTATAAGTACTGCTCAAACCTTTTATCTTATTATTATTAATAAACATGGCATCAAAATACCATTCTTACCATAATGGGCGTGCCGGTGGTGGGGCTTCAGCTTCATAGGTAGTGATGGGCGATATGGCCAATTTTCTTAATTTTCGATAACGATCGATATTGGACTTTTTAAGGAAATATCGATTATTAACGATACGATAACCACACCTTCATTTTGGGGGCGTGTCAAGGGTGTGGCTAATGATTTTGGCACAGATATAACTGTACTTGTCATGAGAGAAGATCATTTTCATGCTCTTGAACTTGGTTCTCTTCTTATTGGGGTAGGCTGAGCTAACAACTGGTCAGTTGCTTCTTTCTTGCAGTTCAACAGTGCAATTACTTATTAAAATTAGTTATTTAACCTTAATAAATGGGCGTGGTCAATAGATCGAT